GCCAGATTACGCGATTTTTCACCATTTAGGCTACTTCGAGGGGTCAGGCGGCAACTAAAAAAGTGATCGGCGACTCGGCGATGTTTGAAATAGGAAAAGGCGATTTTATTTTTTTTAATAAAATGTCTGGGGAATTACAAATTTGATTGGGGATTTTGTGGTGAATGGAATTGTAAAATAACTCATTTGAGGGTTTGAGTATATCTACCTGTGGGGAATTGGAGAAATAAGAGAGTTCATATTCTCCAATGTCCTGCAGCAAGCAGAATTGTAGAATTGTTTTCCTTGATTTTTAGGGATTTTATGGCTTGGGCGAATATCGGCTACTTAACACACATAAATTGGCGAATTAACTTCGCAAAAGTCTGGCAAAACTGGTTGCCGCTCCTACACTTAAGAACGCGCTCAACCGTTATCGTAGATAAATCGTTGCTTTTGAGGACGAAGGTGGTCTAGTTTATCCCACCTAAGATGCAAATATGTAGCGTAGCGTTGAGTTAGAAATCCGAAAATAATAAACAAATCTCAAAAACTTCACACGAGGTCGTCATTAAGTAAACTTCTTCTGATTAATAAGATTTTACCATATTTTGTCAGCAGTAACATTTTCATTTGTCTTGCCATTCATCAATTTCATCAATTGCCAACAGAAAACCATCTATACTCTGAGATGAAATCAAAGTCAAAAAATGTAAATAAAGGTGATGCACTTACAAAAAATATTCCACGAATAGTGGAACAGTGAAAAGGGCTAAAAATTTATACTAGATGTTTTATATTGTTTTTAAATTGTGTGCATGTACAAACAAAATATTATCAAATTATACTTACTTTTTATTTAAAACACCATATTTAATAAGATAATCTCAAAAAACTGTTTCTCGTGGAAAGATTTTTTATACTATTGGCAATGTTTCGGGGATGAACAACCTTTGGCTGTCCTGAGTGTTTATTCGATTTTTTATTTTATTTGTTATTTAGAAACACAAATACTTCGCACTCTCCAGCGAATATGGTAACCGATCATTCTAAATTTTATATGAAAATTAGAAAACTATTTTTTATGTATATCTCCGCTCGGGTACATCGTAGGATAGTTATTTCTATGTCAAAACAAAGCTAATTTTTTTACAGTTTCTTTTCTTTTATGATATTTTGTATTAGTTTTACTAAATAAAGTTTGTGATGAAAATAATATTACTGAAATTGCAGGCCAAAAGTATAGTATGCGACGCATCATTACCATATTATTCGCGTGTAAACCCAACGATTTCGTAGTCAGTATTAATGCATTACCATATTATTCGTTGAAATATGGTGTCAAAAAGGGTAACGGTAATACGGTAATACGATATTACGACTTTATTCGGATGAAATCCAAGCGATAGTGTATACAGTAATAGTACATTACAGTAATATTAGTTGATGTATGGTATCAATAAATGAACAGTAATATAATTATGCAAATACATTCTACATAAAAATAAAAATAACACACGAATATAATTGTTTTAAGCGTTACATGAAACACAATCATCAAGGTAATAATCATCACTTACGGAAAAAATTAACGATTGCATAATGTGTATTAACTTGTTACGGTATTACTCGTGTAAAAAGGGTGTTTAGATATTAAAGGAATAATATTAATATATTCATTACGGGGCCAGTGAAATTAATGTACTTTTATAAATATCCATCGAATTATTACAAAAAAAAAATTACAAGATCTAATTAATACTCTAAACACCAGATATGCAATAAAATGAAAACTACCGCAGCAGCATATTACCACATTATTTGGTGGGAAGGGCGACTTATAAGTAGAAGTGTGAATAATTAATTGCCATAATACTATTACTTTAATCATTTATTAAATGAAATGTTTTTTATTCATAATAATAAAATTAAAATAATAAATTTGATAATTGTTAAATGATGATAATTATAATGAACTGAAAAATGAAAAGTCAGTTTTTGATCGATAGGGATGGATAACGGGTTAAGTCGTCGGGTTGTACCCCCACCAGTGCATCACCGCGATTTTCTCATTCGGTTTATGACGGCTGTCGTTACCGAATGTGTTCCTTGAATGTGTTCCGCTGTGTATGCGTCGTGTTGTTGAGTTTTTGTTTTTTCTAAATTCTTTCTTTGTATGTGTACATGGTCAAATAGCGAGAACAATAGTATAGTAATTATAGATAACATACTAATATCTGTTCTGTCTTTATACTCCCTTATAATAAATTATTGAACAACAGAGAACAAAAACTGATAAGCTTTTGTTTATACATGAACATACGTTATGTGTCCCTATTTTGCGTGAGTAAAAAGAAAAGTCAATATTTGACATGTTAGCCACGGATATAGAAATCAAAACATAGTTTATGTTTAAATATAAAAAATATTCTAAAAAGTTTCTTTTGCGTAATTTTCTATGGGCCGTGACCCGTATCATTTTCTAGTAATTTTTTAATTGAAAATATTTTATGACACAAAATGTTTCTAAACAGTTTTGTAAATTGTTTAACCCAAAAGGGTATTATTCAATTATAATTTATTAGTCAGAATACAGTGGAACCTGTTAATAAACGAACGTGGAAAAAAGGTTTATGGTCTATGAGATGTCACTTTGACAGTGGCAGTTTTGTTTACATTTTTTGACTTCGACTACATCTCAGACTTTAATAAAATTAACTAAGGCAGTCGCAATCGATAAGATCTTCTATTACAAAAAGATGTTATATAATAAGTTCATTTTATTGGAAGGACAATAATTTTAATATTTGAAGTCGATAAAAAATTAAAGTCTAAATTTTTTTAATCAACATTCTTTTGAAACAAGTAAAATAAAGGACATAACTATCTAATCTTAGCACTTTTCTACTATATTAATATTACGACTACTTGTAATCAACAAATACTTGAACAAAAATTATTTTATTTCGATTCGATTAATTGAATGGAATACGCGATTTAGAGCGAGCGGAAGGAGGTTTCTATCACTAAATAGTTCTTGTGACGTCATAGTAGGTACAAAAAATGTAGCATGCTTAGAGATGGGTCATAGATAAATATCATTGCAATTAATACTCAGTAGAAAGGATAAATATGGATAAATATCCATATTTATCCATTTTTACTCGCGGGCACTCGCTGGCGCTCAATGGCACTCAAAAGCTCTCGCGGCACTCAAAGGCATCTGCGGGCACTTATAGGCACTCACAAGCAGTCAAATGCACTTAAAGGGACTCAAAGGCACTTGCGGGCACTCAAAGGCACTCGCTGGCACTCAAAGACACTCGCGGGCACTCAAAGGCACTCGTGGGCACTCGTGCAGGTGCAATAATTTTACTGGCCAGAAGAAGATAGGAGAAGGACTCGCCAGAACAAGGATAGGGTCAGGTCCCATAGGGCTCTTCCATTTGTCAAGGTTAACTAAACTACTATATTTGAACAACCCCTTATACAGGGTGACTGGTTGAACGAAATAAATATTTAAAGAGATGAATGAGTAGCTGATACCCATCCCGAATATGTAAAAATAACACGACTATGTAAAAAAAAAAATTAAACATTTTTATTTAAAGAAAATACTGGCTCTAACATTTTGTATTACTCTGCGCGTGACACCGCGTTCGTCAAAACAAAATCTTCTGCGCATGTGCATTAGACACCCCCGCCACTACTCGTTGAAGGCCGCTTGCGCCGGCTACCCCAATCCCGCCCGCGCGTCCCGCCGTCCGTCCGCCGGGTTAGTTCGCTTACGCCCTTCTGTAAGTCAGGACGTTGTGATTTTGCGATTAAACGCACGCGCCGCCCGCCGCCGCGCCGATCTTTGTTTTCCGTGATACATCGGTCTATTCAACTGTGTAATTCCGTGGAGTGCAGTGACACATAACGATGCCTTATCACTACACAAATGAGGAGTATTGGGACATGATACGGTGTTATGTTATGGCAAATGATGTAGTTAGTGGTGCTAGGGACCTGTACCGTGAAATGTTCCCTAAACGGCGAGTTCCATCCTACACTTCAATGTTAGGACTCAATTTTCGTTTGAGGACTTTTGGGCAGTTCACTGTGCCCTCGCATGCTCAAGGGCGAGGAAGGGATCCGTATCCAGTGGACCTACAAGAAGCGATTTTTGAATACTTTGAGCATGACCCACGCCGGAGTACTCGAAATGCAGCAAGACGATTCGGAGTGTCACAATGGACAGTGTGGAAACTCTTACACAGAGACGGTCTTCACCCGTACATTGTTAAGATTGCCGTAAATTTGTAAATTTAATCAAAATTAATTATTGTAAATAGGTATGATTCCATTTTTTAAATACGCCAAAAATACCAAACCATGCTCATACCTACTAGCTTAGTTTGTCTTTTACAACTGCCTAAAATATTGTGTACTTTAAAAAATAATTTATCGTAGTTTAATTGGTATTTTTGCCTGTCCTAAGCCAAAATCAAAGTATGAAGGGAAAATGGAATTATTTTTAAAACATTTTAAGCGAGAGAGGCTTGACACGCGCTCGTAGCGCGGGGCGCGGCGCGGGGCGGCGGGCGGTTCATTTTCCTAACAATCAGCTGTTCGTAGAGTAGCTCAAACGAACAGAGTATTAGTATTTGTAAAATGGTACGATATATTTTTTTTATAATGTTTTGGGGCGATATTTTTACATATTCGGGGTGGGTATCAGCTACTCATTCGCCACTTTAAATATTTATTTCGTTCAACCAGTCACCCTGTATATAGTACTAAATATCTGTGCAGAAAATTAAGAACCAGTTACGCGGTCAATGGTTTTCATCACCTGAAGAGGCTGTTGAAGAGTATGAAAAATATGTTTCAGAGATTGTCACGGAGGAGTGGCATAAATATTTTAAAAATTGGTTCATTCATATGAAAAAGTGCAATAACGTTAACAGAGAATAGTTTGAGAAACAATAAATTCATTTCTGACCATTTATAGTATTTTTTTCTTATTCATTCTGGAAAGTTATAGTGCGCCCCACATACATCATTATACAGCATTTACTCTTTTGCTTTATAAAGGTAAGATCTCAGTTAATTAATTTTAATACTTTCTGCTTAGAGTCGATTCATTGGTCTTTAACATTAATATAATAAGTTACTTGGTACTGGGTAAATACATGCTAATAATGTAACCAAGTGTTAAAAAAATTACGAAAACAGACTAGTTTCCACAGCAGGTTAAAACAGTGCGTTCTCTATAAGCTCGTCTAGCGGTATACACAGTGACTGCAGCCCAGAGAACAACAGAGACCCACGATGCAATAATAGCCAGCTGTAATGACACACCTGTATTGATGATGGTCCCAAGGCGACTGTTAAGTGTATCCTTCTGCATGTAGTCCATAAAATCATATATTGCCTGGCACATCAGACGGAAGTGTATGACGGTTACATGATCCCCTGCAGCATGGATTTCCTGCAATTGTTGATATGAAGCATTATGTTCTATTCATTACTGTGCAAGTAATATAGACAATTTATTTTTATTTATTTTATTTATTTATTTATATATAATACAAATACAATCACATATACATCAAATAAATGTTATAAATGCTAATTTTTGATGTGCTTCTCATTTTTGTTATGTGTAAAGTCTTTACAACCACTGGATAAAGTTTTCACCAATCGGCAATATTATAGTATTTTAATTACAATAAAGTCCATTTTATTCCTTAAAAATTTCAGATATGCACTTTATGTTGAGACTCTGCCTATGGTTTTAAATTTAACAATACAAAAATTTGTAAGCTTACCCTGGCTAGGAACCCTCTATACTGAGTGCAGGTCCTGACAAAGCCATTGGTGATAATTGCTGCATGGACGATGTTGTAAATACAGAAGATAGCAGCAAAGCAGGACGTTGGGATCCAGCAGTAGATAACTGCGTCATTATGGCGGGTAACTTGGTGACGGGTTGAAACCACTATGGACTCTCCTTCACTGTAATTGAAGAATATACAATTACAAAACTTTTAAAAGTACAAAGGCAAATACTGTACCAAATATTTAAGTCATTAAAACTTTTTGGCGAAAAAGAGACAAAGCTTTAAAGTGGGTAAGACATGATCCAGAAATGATACTCTAGTTTTATAGTGGCAATGCACGTTTCTATTAACATAACATTGTTATGAACTACATTACACATAGGATTCTGCATAGAAAATAAAATATACCTACATTTCCTCCATAGCTGTAGACTTTTCATCCTCATATTTTCCAACGTCGCTGATACATACTCTGTACATGTGGAACAGGAACAGCAATATTGCGTAGACCAAGATTGGTATAGGTGCGATTACGGCATACCAACAGTACGAATTGTGGCCCCCATTGAAGTACTGTGTTGTACTTACGCCAAAAAATATGCAACCGCAGTTAGTATTTTCAAAATAACCTCCAGGGCATACATCGAGCGTTGTTTTCCAGTGATTAAAAGGTATCGCTATGCAAATTGTACTCAACGCGAGAAGTAACGCCAACCCCGCATAACACCAAGTTAATCTCCTTTCTGTCTGGTATTGATTCATTGTTATGTTCGAGGCACTGTTCCCTGTAATGATAAAGTGCTTTCAATAAAATGTGGAACATTGGTAAACACCGTACTCAATATTAGTAAGCTATTTAAACAAAAAACCTAAGCTATATACCTGACTTGAAACAGTTATGATGGTCCAGTCATTTATTACACAGTTATCACAGAATAGTGATTAACATTTTTTCTGTTAGAAATAGTCACATTTCGTGATAAATATGTTATCTTATCAAAAGTAAATTATCATCTATCACATGCAAAACCAAACAAAAACGAGCGAATCGAATACCTACTTATTACGGTGTATGATCTTAGAGGTGGGTGACAAATAACGTCACGATGAAAAAATCACCATGATCCGATGTCAAATAGTATCACCGTGACTCGTACCGAAGGAACGACATTCCAAAGTCACATAGGTGTTCCTCCGTTCCAATAGCTATCCCCGTCACTCACATCACGTCATACGTATTTGATACAATGCGCGATCTCCGTTCCGTGGTGACTGAGCGCGCCACTCGTAGTTCTCTTCAAATCGGGCCATTTCGGCAATGAGAGCGAATGAAATAGGATGACTTTCTTTGCTCACTCACAAGAGTCGTAGGTGCTTATTACTACTAGAAAGGGAATGGGAATGAAACTAAAAAGGGAAGGGGATGAAAAAAATCTGCAGCAGTTATTATAAACCTATTTATGAACAAAGTAAAATATTTTTGTATACATATATGTATTGTTTTATTATAGGAAGAGTTGGTATTTCATAAATTACGTATTATTATTACTTTGTGTATTCTACTAGAAATATAATTACATTACACTATTGCTATTTTAAAAAATCCAAAGATTCGCATTAAATAAGTAACAAACAAAATTACATTAAATCCAAAATCAACTTTTTGAATGGAATTGAAACTTATTACAAAGGGAGTAAAAACTTAAATCATTGTACAAAAAACGGCTATAAGTATTAGAAAGAAGCCGCTGGCTAAAATCGTATATCGTGATGTAAGTTATAGGCGTGACAAGGTCACGGAAGTAATAGACGATGATTTATCACTGTGATTTCTTTGGAACCGGAACGACCGTCACGGCGATAGAAATGTAACGCTATTCCCCATATTCTATGCTTCTATTCTATTCTAGTATTAGAGGTTTGTGGCTTTTATTCAGCGTTGCCAATGTCAAATGTTCAAAATCCCCAAGAATCTCAGTTAAAATCCCCAAATTTGGGGAGAGTAAAGTTCATATTCCCCACATCTCGAGTTTTCATTACAATTTATTAGAAATACATCGCTTAAAAATATAATAAAGAATTAAGATACTCAAAATGTAACAATCTATTACATTTGCTGTGAATGTAAACAGAATGTTACATGTAAATCTAATTATAAAATTAGATGACCTTAAATCGTTTATTTATTTTAATTAGATTCAACATTAAACGCTCTTTAAGAAATCAAAATCTTTCGTTTTGCTTCATACCGGGGACCGGCCTAAGCGGGAGAAAAAACCGCGAACTTAACACGCACCTACTGGTAATTTTACAATTCAGAATCAAGTGCTCTGATCATTGACTTACAAATAAATGGACGACGGGTCTAATACAAAAACCACGAAAAAAAATGTCCCAAGTCAACCTATTCGAAATTTAAATTGTAATGTCATCGCAGTATCGCGCTGTCAGTAGAACAAATGAAGACTAAAGCGGAGTGTCGCGCTCTGTATACGATTTTAGCGCCTTACAAGTGCGGACACTTTTTAGCGCGGACCCGACGTCCATATAATTGTAAGTCAATGGCTCTGATAATAATTCTATTTAAGCTGCTTGTTAATAATACGAGTGATGTGCGATGTTGAAAAACACGTCAATATAGTTCAAAATAGTGTTTCTAACAGTAACGATCAAACTAGCGACGCATCAGCAATTGATAGATTTAAAAAAAAATTATAAAATGTTAGAATCCCTAAATAGCGCCAATCTCACAAAATCTCCAATCTAGTTAAAATTCCCCGCAATTTGGGTAATTCCTCATAATTTATTACCTACGCATACTCGATGTATGTATGTAGTCATCGAGTATATAACCAGAAACATAGACGAAATAAGGGCCATATATTCCTGGCATTGACTTACAATTATATGGACGTCGGGTCCGCGCTAAAAAGTGTCCGCACTTGTAAGGCGCTAAAATCGTATGCAGAGCGCCAAACTCCGCTTTAGTCTTCATTTGTTCTACTGACAGCGCGATGCTGCGATGACATTACAATTTAAATTTCGAATAGGTTGACTCGGGACATTTTTTTCGTGGTTTTTGTATTAGACACGTCGTCCATTTATTTGTAAGTCAATGATTCCTGGTAACACATTAGCGATACAGCTCTTATAAATATCAACTCTCGCTTGCACTGAAATATACTGACCTGTGTGTACGTCTCCGTATATTCCAAAAAATATTCTGTATTTATGGTAATAAAGATAATATCTGTAACAATGCCGTGCTGTTCTATTCGGTGGTGCGGGAAAAACAGCAAAACATCTAATTACAAAACAAAAGGAAGCACATTTCATCGGTAATCAAATATTAATTATGTAATTTTGCAATTTCTGTCCATTATAGCAAAGCTCTAGTTAACTGGTCGATTTGAAGTGAAACTATTGACGACACCCGTCAATTGTTTCGAACTCAGGCTAGCCAATCGGAGCGCAGTTGTGACAGTAATGATATGGCAGAATAATTTTCAAACAAGTTGTATGACATTTTGTCTCTATTTCTGGTTATATACTCGATGATGTAGTACAACCTACGCCAAGAGAAGTATCGATAATTTTTAGTATCGAGTACTTTTACTTTCGATCACAAATTTTGATTAGAAAGGTATTGCTTTCGACACCGATACTTTTGTACTCGATACTTCCTACTTTATCTTTCTAATTTGTACATTCACCTACAAAATAAATGAAAACCAAGTCAACAGATCTTAGATTTCTTTTCTTCCTAGGTGCAGATGACCGTTGCGTTGCCAGCCGTTTTTACTTTATTCTTCTCAGCTTGTATATTATGCCGCGTTCTCACATTCGTGCGATAGGCGATGCGAATAGCGATGCGATGCACGACATGCATGTGTAAACGGTCAGTTCGCTTTTCGCGTCGTGCCGCGATCTCACATTCGTGCGATAGGCGATGCGATGCACGACACGCATGTATAAACGGTCAGTTCGCTTTTCGCGTCGTGCCGCGTTCTCACATTCGTGCGATAGGCGATGCGAATAAAGATGCGATGCACGACACGCATGTGTGACACCGCGTTTACACTAGCGTCGATTCAATCGACGAAACAATCGTGTCGAGAAATTGAAACGCGTTCACACATTCATACGATAGGCGATGCGATGCACGACACGCATGTGTAAACGGTCACTTCGCTATTCGCGTCGTGCATCGCATCGCCACTCGTGCGATCGCGTCGTGAGCGGTATCACAGCAGCGGTATTTCGAGCACGAGTCGAAGGACACGAGTTTTTGTAAAGGTGAAAAAGGGGTTTTTTTAGAGAGAAGTATAAAAACTAAAATCAATGGTAAATGTAAACATTTGGTATTTCATGGCATGTATCCATATTATTTTCGTAAATATTTATACAATGCATTTTCATTAAAACGTATACAACAAAAGGTTATTGTAAATTCTCGGACAACACCCAAACGGGGTAATTATCACGGCCTTGTATATTAAACTGGATCGCGCACTAAGTTAATAAAACGAGCCGAGTGAGAGGCTTCAAAATAGTAATGCGTCTCTTTCATTCTGTTTCAGCCAGCCATATTGTTTTTAACTTTTTAATTTTTACAGAAAATGTGGCCGCTTATGGATGACCAAAACTACTAATATTATTTCATAATTCAAATTAGTATACACTTGTTTGATATGCTACTTCATGATAGAAGGTTTCATTGTTGATATATATTTTTTGTATTATTACAGTAAAAGCATATTACCTTTAAGCTAATTTTATTTAACCAAAAGTTGGTAGGTCAATGACCAAAATTAAAAAAGTTAATACACTAGACACTACCTAGGATGATTTTATTTAGCCTGGGCAACTTGTTAGACAAAGACAGACCACTACTTCGAGCTATCTCACGTACCTCGGTTTGTTACTTTTATTTAAAATAAACCTTAACATAACCAAATAAGGTGTAAGTTTGTAATATTGGTATATCGAAGTGCGCGATCCAGTTTATGAAGTATATAAATCCGTAGTAATTATATTTGGTGTCAATTTCAATAGTAAAATCTAATGACTAAAATCTAATAAATTCCGTAGTTTTAAAAGTGGTTACATAATAACATTAAAAAGTGTCCGCACTTTTAAGGCGCTAAAATCGTATACAGAGCGCGACACTCCGCTTTAGTCTTCATTTGTTCTACTGACAGCGCGATATTGCGATGACATTACAATTTAAATTTCGAATAGGTTGACTTGGGACATTTTTTTCGTGGTTTTTGTATTAGACCCGTCGTCCATTTATTTGTAAGTCAATGCATAATAATGATAAAATCACAAACGTTATTTAAAAAAAGCAAATGCTTTGTAATAATTATTACGAAAATGATATGGATAACTATTATAAAACACCGAGTGTACATATATCAATGGTTGTTTACTTTTTTCTGAAATAAAAGTAAACTTTAAAAAAAAAAGTCCATGACATGCTTATTTACTACATATTTTTGAACATAACACAAAGTAGGTACTTGGTTTTGGAATATCTAATTATGTATGTATATTATATATATCTAATATTATTATATATATTAACAAATGTTTACATTTCATTACACGCGACACCTACCTATATACAATGGTATAAAAATACTTACATTATCTTCAGTGTCTATTGTGCGTTCGCAGCCATACACTGACCACAAGAAATTTTCCAAGTAAAGAACCATATAGGTCATATACATCTTCCACCCCCATACCCGAAATTATAGATTGTTTTTTTCTTACGAAGATACGCACGAAAATTTGTCATTAACTTCTTCGCTTTCAACTCATTGACTGGTAATTTTATAATATTAATACGGTTCCATCCATCGTTAACTTTGTGTTTAATTTTGTGGTTTGGATGTTTTGGGTTTCAAATGAGTTCTTCGGTTTCATACATATAGTTCTAAAAATACAAGTCCCGCGCATTACTCCAATTCATTTTGTACCTACGTATTATCGCTAGCAGCTTATTTATATATAAAGTACTCTGTGGTTTATCTGAAGCTTGACGAATAAGAAAATGGCAGGCTTTTATAGTTACAACTACGGTCTTTACAAAGATTATTAATTTTATTTTAAGTATATTATGAAGAAAAAAACAAAAAAGAAATAGCAATGAAGAAAGTTAGAACTATATTCCTTAACTGAAACCAAATTACAAAATACTTTATCCTTTTAAAATAAATTTAAAATTAAAATTAAAATTCCACTTATTACGAATTCAAAGTTCTTGTCCAAAGTGATAGAAGATAATGTGATCTATGTGAGAGTGAAAACTTAAATATTGACTACTGCCGCTTAAAAGACTATGTAAAAAAACTGAATAAGTGAACTAAGTTATTTAAGATAAATAGAAAACAATCTATTAGAACTACAATGGAATATTACTGAGTATCCGATAATTAAACGAAGACATGACTCAAAGGACTTGTATCTAAGTCAAAACCATTAATAAAAAAGGGACTTTTTTTATTGGTTTTTACGGGTCTGGGTACTTGGCTCATATTAAGCCCATCGTCAAAATAATCACTTTCATAACGAAAATATAACACTTAGAAAGTAAAACAAAAACACTTTAAATTTCACAGTGTTAGATATAAAGTTACATATTGGTTTAAATAAGTTTTTTCTTGAGAGTAACGATTGAACGTTTTTTGGAATATCACTGTCATCTACACAAAGGTCCTTTATTTCTGCCACAAGCATTAGACGATGAAAACGGTATTGAACACAGGTGAAAATGATATGTTGTAAGTCGATTGTTTCTTCGGTACAATGAGGACATTTATCATTTTGAAGGATTCCCAATCTCTTTAGATGAGCAGGAATTCTGCAGTGGCCAAATCTCATTCTATTGATTGCAGTTAGTTATCTGCTTCCGTGAGTCTAGATGCGTTTTATTCCACCAAGGTTGAGCGGGCGAGCTCATTTGTATGCTGGTGTACCACTTTGCTTTTATTTCAGTCGCTTTCCTTCAATATTCCATCCATAAGGACTTCGGTGACAACATGAACTGGACGTGGAAGTCAATGTAAGGTACTTTCAAACAAGAGGAATGTTCTTCATCTGCTGTTCTTCATGCAGCTCCATCATGTTCTTCATTCCCAGTAATACCAGAATATGAAGGTACCCACATTGTATGTTATATTTTTACATCTACTATACATGTCATGTAGCAATTGTTTTATATTATATACTATACATAACACAAATTATATTTATATTGTTTGTTATTGAATGCAGCCAATACACTTTGAGAATCAGTAAAGGTAATTATATTAACAATTTCGAGAATATTTACATAAAGTAATGCTTAGTAAATAGCATAACACTCCGCTGTGAAGATACTACAATAGTTGTTAAGCTTGAAGCATTCAGATAATTTAACCCGTGGGTCATAAATCTTATGTATACCATCTGTATACATAGTGTATAGAGACTTGTTTTCAAGAAATTTTTGTAGCTCACGTTGGTTGTCAACTTTTTGAATAAGTAGTGTTGCCACGTTGCCCAAGGAGGAAGTAGTTAAACTTTAACTAAAAAAGTTGCTAGATTCCAAGAAATTAATTCTAAGTTAAATTGCCTAAAGTGGCTGAACAAAAATATAATTATGGGATTGCGGTTTTAAATGCATATTTTTCTTAATTTTACAAATTATAAATCGAAAAAATAATTATCATCAATATCAATCAAATCATTATCATCTTGTGATATTGAAGGTTAAGCTTTATTTTCGTTTTTTTCCAATTTTATACTTTTCTTACTAAAAGATTTCACTATCAAATATTTTGTTTTGTACCTAATAATTTCGTAAATCTAAATAAATCTATGTAGCTAAAAACTGGCTACAATGGCAACACTGCGAATAACTGTTTATAATGTATTGGCTCAGTTCATAAGGAACAATGTTATTAAACTTTGGATTATTATTTATCCACTTAACATTGTTTTCAGCTAATACCATCTCATTTCCATTTCATAATTTCCATCCTTCATTGTTTAGATTTACCTATAACATACTACCTACCCTATCTTGTTTATCACCGTACCAAAATTCCGTTAGCTTTTATTTTTATTCCGCGATTTCCTTTCCCCGTTTTTAAATTCCTATTAATATCCAAAACCACACATCAAAGTAAGTTCCACAACAACAACAACTGCGACGACAATGATATCCTGAAGTCTCAAGAAGGAAGAAAGTATTGGAAGAATTATCAAAAATTGGCAACTCAATCGAAATTGCTATGGCTAAAGGCTGGATGCCATAGTGCCAGGAAATAAGAAAAAAAAAGTAACTTCGCGTCGCCACTTGTATCTAACTTCGCGACGCTACTCGTTTTAACTTCGCGATAGCGAAGTGACCGTTTACATATGCGTATCGTGGATCGCATCGCTTATCGCACGAATGTGAGAACGCGGCAAATAAACGGTCACTTCGCTATCGCATATCGAAGTATCGTATCGACCCGTTGGAATCCTGAGTCAATCTAAGCACGCCGCCTCAAATTGCCTATCCTCTTTGTGGCGGCCATATTTACAGAAACATAATTAAACTTCATGTTTAGGCTGATTGCTTTGCCAAAGCCTTAATAAAAAAAAATGTGACGAGTAAATAGGATAGAGAGTATTTGAGAGCTATTCAGTTTAATGAAGAATAAGGAAATAACAAATTTTAATGTAAACAAAATTTTACAAACAGAACTTCCAGTTATCATGAAATTAAATACGAACACAAAAATGATTAGTCAGAAAATTATTCTTGTTCCTTATCAAGCACACCATGTACCAAAGTATGTGTACGTAAACGTTATTTAGAAGTTACGATGCTTACTTTATTAATATAATATTGTTCGGACAGATACCACCAATGGTTGAAGTCAGATGAACTGCAGAGGCTCACAGCTTCGGAACCATTGACATTAGAAGAGGAATATGAAATGCAGAAATCATGGATAGAGGATGAAAATAGTATGTCTTTTGATAAATTCTTCAAGTACTATACTATTAATACTATAAAGAGTGTTAATTACAGGTGATGAAATTTTGATAAACTTGCTTTTTTATTTGCTAAATATATAAATACAACTAAATGTTTACATCAGTTTAAAATAACTTATCATAAAATTAAATTTGACTTTTCTAATGAAAATTTATTTTATTCCAGAATGCACATTTATAATCCTGGAAAAAGAAGCATACCAAGAGAAACAAAATGAAATAGGTTATTGTCGATTATTAGTAAAAAACAATCAAGTACCTATGAATTTTTTGAAAACTGAAATGTTTTTCAGATGCTATGATAGGAGATACCAACATATTTATCACAGACAAAGAGGCCAACACGGGTGAAATAGAAATAATGATAGCAGAAGACTCAGCAAGAGGAAAGAAACTTGGATGGGAAGCTGTTATTCTCATGCTTCTGTATGGAATAACCCACATTAATTTAAAAACATATGAAGCAAAAATATCTCTTACAAATGAAATCAGTTTAGGAATGTTTAAGAAATTAGGATTTGAGGAAAAATCAAGAAGTGATGTGTTCCATGAAATAACCCTAGAGAAAAAAGTTTCAGATGAATGGAAAGAATGGCTAGCTAAGCATGTTCAGTATGTAATAGAAAGTTGTTAAATGAATGGGTCTTCATACATAATATAAGCATTTGTTTTATATAAATCCATTCTTTCTTAATATAATGTTTCAATTGTTAATAAAATTATATATGTAGTGTGTAGTTTATTTAGATAATTCAGGTTTTTTGTTTCAAAGTGGTAGCACCTAGACAGTATCAACGCCCCCAAATGCTTCCCCTATCTCCCTAGAATTCTTCAGTGCCCACTGGGGGGCACCAGGTAGTACACACCGGACACACCATACAACGGTCGAAAATTATTTACCTACTACTACTACTATTATACAGCAAGTCGCTATCTGTAGACGGGCAAACGTGTGCGTGAAATGGCAGGGTTACCCATCACTTTCTCGTACTATTACGTTACGTGGTCAGAGCGACAACAAAGCGAGAATTCTACCGCAAATCTATTATGTATCCTAATAATTTCACATGTTCATAACGTATTTATATCGATATAATATTATATTTTTCATTCATTCACTAACCAGAATGTTATTGAAGATTTACTTTAAAAATACATTAAAAGCGCTTAAAATGTATATCTATATTTTGGACAGATACTTAAGGTATATGAAATTGCGTGTCCAAGGTTACCTAATAATTATTAGGCATATTTATCGGCAACACAAATTAAAAATTCGCGCACCTTTGTCTACTAAGTCACGAACTTATGGCGCCTCATTAGATATAATGATATAATAAATCTATATTATATATATATTACTCTGCACTAATTAAATGAAGAAAACATTAACTCAATGAGTCTCAGGGTCGTATTCTAGAACTCTATTCAATGCTCAAGTCAGGATTGCACTGGCAACACAAGCACTGGAAATACGACCCTAATGGCAGGGACTTGAGTATGATTTCGAGTGCTTTAAGCCATACTCAAATCCTGACTTGAGCATCAGTCAGTCAGCAGAGCACTCAATGTTCTTGCCATTAGGGTCGTATTTCCAGTGCAATCCTGACTCGAGCATTGAGTAGAATTCTAGAATATGACCCTGGTGCAATCCTGACTTGAGCATTGAGTAGAGTTCTAGACAAGTTTTTTTTTTACTTACTTCGTTTCATTAGAAGTCTGGAAGAGGATCCCGATAATTAAATGAAGACTTGGCCCAAAGGACTTTCATCCAAGCAAAAAAAAGTCTAACGTCAACGTCACCCTGCTATTTATCTAGAATCTTGGCAAACTGTGTGGAAAGCAAGCAGTAAATCTCCTTGTAGATATTTTCATGATATACAGCCCGATATCTCTGTCAAACCCTGGTTTTCGCGTATACATTTTGAGAAACGTGTTACTTCCATCATTACAAGAATGAGATTAGGATATCTGAACATCTTGCTAGACTCATATAGTACCTGCAGCTTGATTTGGATTGTCTCTCCCGATCGAAAACTGCGTTTTTTATGGTCTTTTTTGAGTCGAGGCGCATAAATGCGATTCACAACTGGCCGATCGGAAAATTTTGACATTTCTAATCGGAACAATAGTTGATTTAACTCGCAAATTAGATAGATATAGTAGGAATCAGGTTCATGTTCTCGCTCAGAAACCCATCTGATTTCGAGACTACCCATCGGATCGATTCCGATTTGAATCAAAATCAAAACGCAGTAATTTTACATTCACATGGAACACCAAATATATAGTGTATGATCTATGGAACACAACATTGGCAATCTGAACCACTTTTTCCCTTTCATAATTTTCATCCTTCATTGTTTAGATTTACACATTGACTTATGGATTTACAGAATATTCTACCTACTATTCTGTACTACCCTACAACTATGTATACACCTACCCTATCCTGTTGATCCACCACCTTTCCAAAATTCCGTTTGCTTTTATTTTTATTCCGCGATTTCCTTTCCCCGTTTTTCATTTTCTATTAATAATATCCAAAAACCCACATCAAAGTTCCACAACAACAACTGCGACGACAATGATAAGAAAGAAGAAAAGATTCATTTCGAAGAATTATATTATGGTAGGTGTGAGACAACAAACAAGTCACTCCCATTAATAGTCAAATATTTATTAAAATTAATTAAAGTTTATTATACATTTTGTGTTATTTGATAGATATTACATATATGTATCACATACAGTGTTGGTGAATGCTTCCCATGTCATTTCAGTGAATATTAGTACATACCTGCCAGCAGACCTTTGGACTTTTGTAATATTTTGCACTGTCACTACATAACTGAACAATTAAAACTTAATTATTATTTTGTAAACATCAATTTCGTCATGGCAATTTATAATAACATCCTGGAGATGCAAAAGAACTTGGAGACTTCATTGATGCAGCGATTTGCTGAGTTTGATGCTGCACTGAAAGCTGCGTCACCTCAAGCGCACACCATTGGCAGCCTCACGACGGAGTTCCTATCATTTAAAGATCAGGTAGGCTGCATTCTGCAGCTGCTTAGGCAGCAGATTTCTAGTCTCAGCAACACTGTTGATTCCATAGAAATGCGGCACAGGAGGAAATATTTGCTGTTTGGTGGTGTGCCAGAAGCAACCGATGAGGATATCGCCTGCACAATTGAGAGCATCTGCCACAAAACTTTTCATTTGCCAAATGTTACTCGCAGGTCCATTGTTGCTTGTGACAGACTTGGGGGGGTTATTGAGGGCCGGGCTCGACATGTACTGGTGAGGTTTGCTGAGCTGGACATGCGTAACTCTGTGTGGTCAAAGAAAACTGCACTGAAGGGCTCCTCCATAGTGGTCACCGAGTTTCTGACAAGGCAGAGACAGGCGGTGTTCCTTGCAGCGCGTAGGCATTTCGGAATGCGCAATGTCTGGACTGCTGATGGGAACATTAATGTGAAGCTGCCCAGCGGTAAGAAACACCGCCTGACCACCACCGAGCAACTGGGTGTGTTAACTCCGTCGCATGCCCCTGTGACGACTCCGACATCCACCGTGCCTCGTGCGACTGCTGCGCCAGCGCCGGCTGGTCCGCCAAAGGTTGCCGCAAAGAATGTTGGGGAGCGTCTCGGCGAGAAATTTAATAACTTTCTTAATTATATATTGTTACTTTGTGTAGTTTGTATTGTGCCCGTCATTTTCTTTTTTTAACTTCGAATCGCAGCCGAACTGTACATAAATACAGATTCCCTTTAGTTTTCCACATATCTTTTAAACCTTCTGTTCAAACCTGTAATCTTATGTTCATTTCATCCTATTTAGTTGTAACAACTTAGGTACTTACACGATGAAAGTTTAATTTTAATTATTTACGTAAGGTAGGCTAGTTTTATTTTTTAATTTCAACAAAAGTAATTAAGGTAAGCTAGGCAATCTGTAAAATTTTGATTATTTTGTTTTTTATTTTGACAGCTGGTAGTTTTTTTTTTAATTTATTAAGGCTTTGGCAAAGCCAATAGCCTAAACATGAACTTTTTCAATCACATTATTTTTTTAAATTTATTAAGGCTTTGGCAAACCTATTAGCCTAAATTTAATTTAATTATGTTTCTGTAAATATGGCCGCCACAAAGAGGATAGGCAATTTGAGACGGCGTGTTTGGATTGACTCGGGATTCCTTAAAACGGGCCGATACCGGTATTTTAGTTCGAGATTCGTATAATTTCGCGTTTTAATCTTCGATTAAGGCACAATAGCACTATCCTATTCCACTTTAAACTAGATTTCACAAAATAATTGAAAGTCAAAATAAAAACGACACGTTTCCCTCCAAAAGGCCCAGAGCGAGTCACATTCGGTTGCGTTCAGAAATTGTTCAGAAACACACACACACACACACACACACACACACACACACACACACACACA